ACTAGCTGCCTGTTAATTTAAATATGTGCCAAGTCGAAATATCAATGTCTTGTGTAAAAACATAGAGTGAACATGCTAATATTAGCTTTGTAAAGGCCTAATAACTATCAGCAGCTTATTGTCAGAAAAAAAAAAAAAACAATAAAGCTATTAGTGTTTCAAGTAAACAGAGAAGTGTTTTCCAAACACAATGCTACTATATCATAATGTGTNTAGATCGCGAAGCCCCCCCCCCCCCCACCCCCCCCCCCCAAAAAAAAAACAAACAAAAAAAAAAACAACCCAAATATTTATATGTAGGCCTATCAATAAAGTAATTTACATGAAATATTGAGAAATTTAAAAAATGAATACTGAGTACTTGCATGAGTTTAATTATCTCTATATAAACTTATTTACTATAGTGATGATAAGAAAGTAGAGACGTGAATATTTATAGATTGATAAAATTATTTTTGATATTGACCCAGGGTTGATTATCAGGCTTGTTTTATACAGGCCAGGTTTCTGTTTCAGATCCTGTTCCAAATCCTGGATTCTGATTGTCTGTTGCCCAGTGGACCAGACTGGTGAGCTAACCAAACATCGACTCGCGAGAAACGTCACATCCTGTCAACTCCTTCCAATCTGGTAGGAGGCATTCAAGCCCACAGCCACACTTCCATCCTCACGCTGGACTGAACCAATCTGAATTGGGTATTTTGCCATCATTCCTCTCTCCTCCATCAAGGAGCTGAACCTGTTAAATATTGCCTTGGATAAAGGGGGGGGGGGAAACATCTAGGGGATTTCATGAACTATTTAAAGAACTTCTCTGTATATATTGTAAATATTTAATACATATCACTAATTTTGCGCTATTTTGTTGTCTGTGTTTTTACAAATTACCACTCCCTCCAGCAGTCAAACCACAAATTTTTCTGATCTGATTTCATTATTTACTCACTCATAATTAGTCATTTTTATATCCATATAAATATTTTACATGTGCTGTATTATTTTTTGTTTTATGAAAAGTTTTATATAAATTTTCTACAACTAAACCTGTTTAAACATAAATGGCCCAAACTAATTCTAGCTATCAACTTGGAGTCCCAAACACTGATTTGTTTGAAATGATCAGTATGGGAACCATTGAGAAAACGTGGCTTCCAGGACTGGTTTGTGCCCAACTTTATCATCCTCACTGGACATGGGCGTAATTTTGAAGACCCAAAATGTGATTCTCTATCAGTTGTGTTTTTTGCCCCTTTACATTAACATTCAAAGTGAAAGCGAGACTGTAGCTGCTGCAACACGTATTTCTGCCTGCAATTGTGCCTCGCTCAGTTTACATGATATAAACATTTCCAGCACTTCAATTAGAGCAGTGACTTACAAAGCAAAACTCAAAGATTTTTTAAAGAACTCCTTATTTAGTTTTTTTTTTTTTTTTTTTTTTTTAACCTTTTTGCTCAGTTCCCTTTTAATTTAANCCTTAGGCAAGCCCTGCAAGCACCTAGTGTAAAATGCCATTTTCAATAGACTGGAAGCGACCGAGCCGCTTATCCTCAAACACGGAAGCTGACGTGCAAAGAGTCAACTGCTTTTATGGCACCTGCTCACCGGGCTATATGGGAGACGCTGTCCGTCGCTGCCGCAGGTAGGCTTCTAGGCGTTTGTAAGCCTCTAGCAAATGTTCGTATTGCTGTCTCTCATTGATATGCCTCTCAACATTTAGAAGTGTGATCGTGGAACAAAACCTTCAATTGATCACACGGTTTGACAAGTGGGAACTGGTGAGTGTTTGTTTGTTTGTTTGTGAGCTAGCATGCTAGCGCTAGCCTCCTGGTTATTGTTTGGGCTCCGTCAGTGTAAACTAACTTGAAATGAGTATGTTTTGTTACCTTGATGCATTTAAACTGAAAATACTTTCAATGGTAAAACACTATTTCTATTGTATGCTAAAATGAAATGTAGCGTCCCGGTTGAAAAGACGGTCTCTCTAACTGATGGTTCACGTTTCTTTATTCAAAAGCCTTTGTACATGAACACACCGTAAGAGCTACAAACATACAAATAAAATATCATTAGTAACTCTTCGTGGTTTTAACCTTTTACCATAACCTATGAACCTTACTTTATGTAATATCATTAAATTTACAATACATGTATTTAATTAACTATAACATATGAACTAAAACGTATTCCAACTGTTTCAACTGTTCGACACTTAATCAAATATTAACACCATTTCATGTCGAAACATAAACATCACGCTCAATAAATACAATTTACTCATCAAAACACCCACCTTGTTCCCTCATCAACCAAGCGCTAGCTAATTGATTGTCTGGACCTTAATTGACCTATTCCTTAGTTATCTCCCCTCAACCGTGACTCGTATGCTCGCTCACTCTCTGCACTATGTCCAAAACAACCAACCTTCAGTTACAGTCAGAAGTTTGTGTAGATCGCGTAGCCACCTCCCCCCCCCCCCCCCCCCCCCCCCAAAAAAAAAAAAAAAAAAAAAAAAAAAACCAAAAAATTTAATAAAAGCCTATCAATAAAAAAAATTAAAAAA